CTGTCTAGCTAACATACCACACATACAGTTATAGCAATACATGTTCTGCTGAAACCAGCTCTCTTTGGCTGGCTATTGTACTGCTCCTGCCCAAAATACTTAAATACCGATGCAGAAGCCTCACAGCTAAACTACCATGTTGCTCAACCAGCTACGTTGCATAGATTTTTCTGGCTGGTTTAAAATTATTTGTCAGAAATATCTATTGGTCATTTTAGAATTATTTAGTCCAATATTTGCAATGGAAAGAGAAAAAGGGGAGTTAATTAATGGCAGCAAAAATCAGTTGAGAAGGGGTTCTGCTGTTCTGCATACTGAAACTGCCTATCAATTCCGAAAGAAATTATATCAATTACAGTCAAAATATTTGTACATTTACTGAAGTGTGTGAACTTTCATTAAGGCTGAAGTATGTCATAATTCTGTTTTCTACAGTGTCAGTATACTTCTAGAAACAAAATGATGTGAGACATTCAGCCCCTCAGGTCCCAGTCACAAACCTCAAGGCTATGCCAAGGGGAAAATGCTGGAGAGGTGCTGCCTCAAGGGCATCAAAAAGGCCATTGCAAGTGGCTTTGCAAAGAGGCACCTAAGGCTTGGACTGAAGGCATGCTGCTTCCATACCAGAACCTCTTCTCTGCCCACTGGGGAGCAGAAACACATGTCTCCAGTACTGAAATTCAGGGCTCCTGGTAGCCAGCTATTGCCTTGGCCCAGGTGTTTTTTTTTTTCTCCATTTTCTGACAAAAATGCCATCTTGGAACTTCCTTTCCTTTTGAAACTGACATATGCAGCTTCTGACAAGATAACCCTTTGTGAGCTCATTCTCAACCAGCTCTGTTAGTGAATACAACTTACCCTATGAAAACTGCTCAGCCTTGTGCCTCAAGACAATCCTCACATTCTTTCCTGAGTCCTCGCTTGACAAAATCTCCCAAGAAACAGTAGGAGTTTTGACTATGTGGTTTCTAATGTTAAGCCAAAAGTAAATGGTGTATGTTGCCCTATAGTCCCACACAAATTATCTGATCATTGTAAAAATAGAAGTTAAGAATAAAACTGAGTAGGACAATAAATAATCATAATCCTATATGGAAAAAATACCAAGTGTCCAGATTTCCACTACAAAATTGCTTTTCTTTTGCTAGGATTTTCACAGTGGCCTGAAGCTTGGCTCTGAATGAGAAAATGTGCCCCATTAGGCAAGAGAACTCAATGCCTACATGTTCTTTTTTGTTAAATTTGGCAAGGGGAGCCTACAGCCTTAATTAATGTCACTTGTGATAGTAAGAGGCAAATAATAGAGCAACAAGTCAAACTGCAAAAGTGAAGACAAAAAAGCAACAGGGAGCACTAAAACAGTTGTGTCAGTTCCTATGGCTTTTAATGAGACTTACAGGCAATGCTTTGAAAAATTGGAGAAGGAGAAAAGAGTTTTGAACTCTTGTTTTGTTTTCTTTGCCGAGTCATGGGCTAATTGTCCCATGTAAACAGTTCATCTGAGAGGGGAAGAAGTGAGGTGTGTTAAGTTGTTCAACAACTTTAGTACTGAATTTATCGCACTATGTTAAATAGATCTGCATGTTTCAGACAAAATACTTTCACATTTGAGATTAGTCTTTTCCAAACCATCCAAAATTGTTTTGTTACATATTTGAAATTCAGCTGAGTTGAAAAGTTTATGAGCTTTTCTGTTCTCGAGAAAAGCTGAGCATTTGAGAGAGAACTAGAGTTTTCAACTTAGTCTCGGTCTGTATCCTAAAGATTTAGCTCAGTCAGTGCTGAACTATGAACCCTGGAACACAAAACTGATGAGGTTCTCATAGCACAGGGTGCTTCCTCATTTCTGACCTCTCTCTCTTTGAGTCAGACACAGTATTAGCCATGCAGGGCTTAGTTCAGGTCAAACACAGTCACGATTAACTTCAGGAGAAGCCATAACAAAGTCCAAATTTCCAGTGCAGAGGCTATTGTCCACCTGATGGCTTGTCTTCCCCTGAGCAAACTATATAATTTCCTTCTGATTCCCAAAAATGAGCGTGAGTACAAACAGTCTGGAATTCACTGGAAGCTCTCTGTCTGCCTTGGAAGTTGTATCTTACTGGAGGTTAATGAGATTACTTAAGTGATGAGAAGCTTATCCATGTGAGAGGAGGTTTAGGAAGGCTATCCCTTAACTCAGCAATGACGTTCTGCATCTGCGTCTCTAATGACACAACTTTTATTTCTCCTTCTCAACTGTTGTACGCTGTTAGACTACTAACAGGCTATTCTTGGAGCAAAGAAGTGCCTAAAAAAGCAGTGGCTTTTACTCTAGCCATATATCCCTTGGCTGTGTTGGAATGCTCATGTAGTGACAGTGTTGGAATCCTACTAAGCAGAAGTAGTTGTCATCTTTTTTGCCCCTGAACATCTGGTCACACTGGCTACAGCTGTAGATTTGGCATCCACAGAAAATTCTCAGGCTGAAATTTATGGTGTTTATTTTAGTATTTCAAAAAACAACCCTTTGTCTCTGAAAGACTCCAGAAATCAAGAGAAGAATGGATTTTTTCCTCAAGAGTCAGTAGGAAACAGCTTGGAAAAGAAAGGCAAAAAAACTAAACCAAACAAAAAAAAAACAACACCCAAACCAGAATCTATATCTGACAGATAATTATGTTTCCTGTAAGAGAAGAATAAGAATGAATCAGAGTTTTATACAGGTATTCCCATATAAAAGGATCTCCTCATGCACCAATGTAAGAAAGCAAAACAGAGGCATGTCTGATTTGTTTTCTGAGAACTGTCATTATTTTCCATGGTACAAGCCTTGCCATCCATTTTGCTGTGAACTGTTATTTTTTTTTTCCCAGATCCCTAAAGTGTTAGGTTCTACTATGCAAAAGCAAATATTAGTGTTTTAAATAGATGGATCTAGTTATTTAATAAGTATCTGCTGTGCAAATATTTGTGTTTCATGGGATTTTAAGTATTTCAATTTTTTTAATACATTTTGTTTTCTTTCTGATATAATGTAGTAGGAACCAACTGCTCAGGTAGTATTATATAAATGTAAACTAGTTCAAAGCCTGCATCACAGCCTAAAACTGCCAGATACACGGGTGAGGTCTGGACAGCCCATTTGAGCACATTTACAGGAGACTGCCCTGTGTCAAAGGCCACCAACAAGGTGAATGTATCTCAAGAACAGCTCAGTGGCATCACTTTACTCTACTTTGAATGTCTCTCTAGCTCTTCTTCTCAGATGCAGAGGGGACAAATCCCTGCTTGAGGCTACGTTGAAGCCGGGCTCCTCACAGAGAGGGGAGGGCTGCAGCTACATTCCCTGAGAGTTTACTCCAATTACTGGTGGTTACTCATTATCTCACAGAACCACTTAACATTATTATTGCTGAAGTCTACAGGGAAGCAAACATGTTCTTGATTGAACTCAGGGGGTAGAGGAGATTAAACTTTCAGCATCCTCCAAATTCACATCTTGGCTAAAATTCTTGGCACAGACCCAGCTTCCAAGCAGACGAACAGATGGACAACCAATGTGTCAGTCCAGTTCCCTTCTTTATTATGGTTAGATACCATTGCTGCTCTTGATATTTACTGCCTGCGGGCAGATTAACACTTCCTCAGCACGGACACTGAGGCAGTAAATAAGAGGTAAAGATGTGGAGAATGATTAACATACAGCAGCTGTTGATACTGCATGATCTGATCATTACCGTTTCTCAGGTAAGACGAGGCTGCACCATTATAGAAGGAGGCAAGGCAAAATAAGCAGGGGCAGTTTAGCTGGAACATCCTCTTGAAACAGTGAATTGTACAGGTATTGTATTGCAACTAATGTCTTTAAGCAGTGGTGTCCCTTTGAGAAGCCTTCTGTGTCTGATGCAGGAGGTGAGGCCAAGTGGACCCTGCAGTTGCCCACCCCTGTTGGGATGCGGGCTGTCACTGGAGGTAGCCCAAGTGGGCCACTGGTGCCAGCACTGCGTGGCTTGACTCTCCCTTGGACTGGAGCCATCTCTCCACTCTTTCTTCAGTCATTGCCAAGCAGCTGCTTTAGAACTGTTTCAGACAACCAAAGCAAACACTCTCTAGAGTGAGTGGTTTCGTTCTCTTGGATCCCGGGGAACACGGGGTGAAAGTGAAGGACTTGGCTGCTACACTGAAGTTGCAGCGTTGCTGGCCAGACAAGGGCCTTGTGTCAGCCCTGAGCCCCAGTGTGTGACTGTTCTGCCTCACTATGTGACCAAGAGATCTGATAAAATCCTCTGCCAGACTCCATAGTCTGAAACAGATGAAGAATTTATTAATCTGCCGAAGATATGACTGCAGTACATCTCTCTCCAAGCCAATTACTCTCTATTTGGTTTTTATTTATTTATTTATTTGTTTATTTTGGAAGGGTTCATACCATTAAGCAGAATACACAATGGTCCACCTATTTACATCTGATTATAGCTTTGCTTACACCACCTGAAGCATGGAGTAATTGCCCTGAAGAGCATCTTCCTGATGAGCCATCTACTGCTTTTGCAAACTTTAGAATTCTTATGAAAGAAAAAAACAAAACGCACCAAAACAAAACAAAACAACCCAACAACCCAAAAACAAGAAAAAAAAAAAAACCAAAACCAAAAACAGAGCAGTAGGATTCATTTTTGTGCTGGCACTCTTCAATTCAACAGTTTGCCATTCTAACAGTCAGCCTAAGAGCTCCAATTCCAGTGCAAAGCTTTGAAGGAATTTTAGGTTTTTTTTGGTTCAAGACAGAACACTTTGATTTCTACTTCACAGCTCCTTTTGAATAAATAAATAAATAAGATATAATGCAGAAACGTGGTTCTACAACCTTCATTATAACTGTCTCTGTTGTTGGCATGAAGTTACCTTTCCCCATCTGTGAAGTATGTTTTTTTTGCTTGCACACATATGCATACTAGAAAAAGCAGAAGGATGAAGTATGGTTTAGTGAGACAGGAAGTCAAGGCATTGTAAACATAAGAAAAAGAAGAAGAAGAAGAACAAGAAGAAGAAAAAAAAGAAGAAGAAGAAGAAAAAGAAAAAGGAAAAAGAAAAAGAAAAAGAAAAAGAAAAAGAAAAAGAAAAAGAAAAAGAAAAAGAAAAAGAAAAAGAGAAAGAAAAAGAAAAAGAGAAAGAAAAAGAAAAAGAAAAAGAAAAAGAAAAAGAAAAAGAAAAAGAAAAAGAAAAAAAAGGAAAAATGAAAGGCCTTAGCATAATAAAAGCAAGTGGTTTTTTTGTTTGTATTTTTTTTAAAATTTATTTATTTATTTTCTTTAGTGACAATAAAAGGTTCTGACATATGGCCTCTAGCCATGGGAACAAAAATACTTAGCTTGAAAAATCCCATAAAATCCTGTGTGACCAATTTCAATACAGATGAAAAAAAAATCTTCGAGAAAATAAGCAAATGAGCTGTTTGCAGTGCAACAAATGCCTACAGTACTAACATGAATTGTGAAATCACTGGCTGTGACTGATCAGAGTTCATTAAAAATAAATCTTGGCCCAGCAGTTTTAATAAACGAAATGAGCTATCAAGCAGCAATGATTCGCTTTTTCTCATGCAGAAAACTGTCTGATTTTGCATTTTTCACTCAGCCAAAGAACTTTTGCTGAATTAAAACTAACGCTGGCATACAAAATAAAAATTCATGTCTCATCTTTCTGAGGATGAGAAGAAGATGGGATACAGCATTCAAACCTTCAGAGCCATTTCAATTTAACTTTTTCTAAAATTCCTTCCATTATTTAAGGCTTTGTGGGGAAAAAAAATAAAAATTGAGGCCATATTTTCTTCTCTGCCTGAGGAGGCAATGCTGAGAAGGCAGGCATAAAGGAGGGCTCTGCTCACCCTGCCAGGAACAGCGCAAGAGCTGCCAGTTCTGTGCTGCTCAGTGACGTGAACATCATCATGCCCCTGAAGATGGCTGCTAAGGGGCTCCAGCCTCTGCATAGGGCTGAGCAATCTGAGTGGAAGAAGCTCCTACCAATGTTGGGCACAGGCCAGAAAGTACCAGCATAGCCTGAACACATTACCTTCAGCAGGGCTATGGGTCTGAGTTGGAATCTGAAATTACAATCCTGTTTTCTGGTTCAGGAAAGAGAGGAAACAGTGCCTATGCACAGCACATGGCTGATAGCATCACGTGTTTCCTCTGGATTTTCCCCACTGTTTTCATTTTCTTCCTCATACGGCAGCAACAGCAAATGAACAGCTTTGGTCCCAGAACACAATAACATGTCTTCATATTTATGGCACAACAAATAACACAAAACAAATACATCATCTACTCATGCTTGCATTTTTCTGGCACTGGGACACACAACACTGTGAGTGGGCTCACTGCTACAACAGAATTCCAGTTATGAAAAGGATGTTCAGAAAGCAATAAGGGGTATTAATATTTTTGCCTCTTCCTTTACCCTTCCTTCCTTCTTTCTCTATTGCTGCTTTCCCATAGCCCTCAATCTTGTTGCACCCTTGAGGAGCCACAGTCCTTATTTCTGTTGTGTTCCTCTGATCCTGCTGTTTAGCTCAGAAAGCCAGCTCCTGAGGTTAATACTGTTCCTGACAGCAAACATTTATTGGTAAAAACCCCACCAATTGCAGGATCTATACTAAACTGAGCATATGGAACAAGCTGAATATCAATGTGACAAAGATGAATACTTTAAGGCAGCACCAGGCAAGCTCCAAGTGCCTGTATCAATTTCCACTTTTGGATATGGTTACAGCTGAGTTCACAGGGGAGCCACAGGCAGAGGTGTGGGTATCCTGATCTAAAGCTCAGTGGAGTGGGTGAAAAGTCACACACTGATTTCAGTGTGTTTTGAATCATGTCTGTAAGTGGAGAGAAGCAAGCACAGAGTACTCTGTGGACCTACTGTAGTGGTTCTGGATTTTGGGGAAATTTCTCAAATCTAAACACAAACTGCACAAGTGCAAACTCTGAGTGCATGCGGAAGTGATGTCTGGAGGGTATCGGTCACTTATACCCTAAGGAAAGACAAGGAAAGATAAATGGTTTCAATAAAGTAATGATATTTACTTCTCCTTCACTGCAGCAAAACACCTTCATGAAAGGTCCTAGAGGTTAAATAAATATTCTTAGTCAAATACTTCACAGTTAAAATCCAGAGTTGCCCCTACCCATGAGGTCTGATATATATATATTTTTCCTGGTTACCATAACTTGTGCAGCTTTTTTGTCTTGTTGCCCCTAATGTCTCTAATTAAAGAGGGCCAGCAAATGAAATAATAAAGCAAGACTGTTGCTTGTTAGCTGATGTTTTAAGGCAGTTTTTCCTTACTGCAGTCTCTCACGTACAGGGTATTGGGCAAGAACTGACCCCACAGTCTGGCAGCACACACGCAAGGGATCATCACGTAGCTATTTCAAAACTTGATTTTCTTTACTATTTCCATTCATTTTCTCATTGGTGGCAATATGGTGACTAATAAATGAGGTTATGTCTTGGTGGATTTGATAGCAGCAGCCTGCTGCTAGAATTTCTGCCCTTCAACCTAGCCAATACAGAGGGGGTTTTTTGGCATGCAATCCCATCAGTTGTGTGGCCTACTTCCTAAAATGTTCCCCCTCATTTTGATTTGATAAAGATTCCTGCTTACCCATTTTATAGGCCTTAGATGAAGGACAGTTCAGGTTTATCAAACCAGGAGAAGATTGCAGGGAGGAGAGAACAGCAGTATTGTGTTTTTCCACACAACCTGTTACGGTAACAAGCACTCCCCCACAATGTTTGTTGACAGATGGTCAAGGCTCAGGACAAAAAAATAAAATGCTTTCAACCGATGGCTGTAGCACCACTTCTGAAATAAGTGCGAGCTCCAGGATGCTGAGCTCAGGAGATAAGGAAGCAGTAGGACAAGAATTGAATAGGGCAAAAAGGGGGAAGAACAAACGTGCAAAATAAACTCTTGGAGCCCACAAACATAGTATCTCCTGGATAGAGGAATGAAAAAGAAGGGAATGATCTGGATCAGTGACCTTCAAACATATTTCTCTGGGCTTAAACCACCACAGAAGCTGGGTTCCTTGCTAAGTGTGGTCATGGATCCTTGTAGCTGATTGAGCACAAATGAAAGTGTTCAAGGATGAGACCAGCAGGAGCTCTCCCATTAGGTGATGTAGTTTAACAGCCCTGTTGTGTCTGTGGTATAATCCTTCCCTTCCCTTCCCTTCCCTTCCCTTCCCTTCCCTTCCCTTCCCTTCCCTGTTCCCCTCATTTTGCCAGCTCAGATATCTATTAAACAGGGAAAAAACACTTATTTAATCTGAGTTTCAAAGTAAACTATCTGTGCTATCACCTTGAACATATCCCTATCTTCTCTCACAGCGTGGGAGTACTTGTTTACTCACTACAAATGTTGCAGTGATTGTATGTGTACTTGAAAAAAAAAAATGAATCAAAGCATTAATAATTTACCACCAAATAACACTAGTTTTTGCAAAGCTGCATCCACATCCCTAAATACTGCATGAAAGTACATGATATGTAGATATGTAGTTTCTAAACTGATATGCTGAAAGATGATGGTGCAATAAGATTCAATAAAATTTAGCAAATGTTCTCTTTGTTTTCTTTTTTTTTTTATTTTTTCTTTTTTTTTTCTCTCTTCTCCTATGTGCAAAGTTTTCTCTCTCCTAATAAGTTTCCCTAAAGGACAAAGTTTAGATATTTTCCTTTGCTGCTGATGAATCATCTTGCCACTTGGATATACTCAGCTGATGGAAATTCCAGCAGAATGAGCTCTGGAAGTCAGAGAAAAAGAGAGGTGTGTAACACAATGCAGAGCGCTTTGTGTGTGTGCATGCATTCCTCCCTCCACATTTATGTACAATTTTGACATTCTAAAGCAATAATAGACAGGAGAAGAAATGAGGAACTATTCACCTCTTTGGCGCTGTGACTGTAGAGGTAACAGAGATGAATAGTACTAGAAAAGTTTTGAAGTTTTGTGGATGTATTTTGACCCTATCTTTTTTTTTTTTTTTTTTTAATTGAATCCTTAGCACCTTAACAAGGCAACAATGTTTTCTCAGGGAATACTGAGGAAGAATATCTCAAAATGGAAAAAGTAAGTACAATTTCCATGATTTATGCCATTTACTTTGCAAACATAATATGTAGAGCAGAAATTTGGCTGATGCTAATCAGTATATTTTTCTTTGCATCAGTAGAGCAATTTCAGCATATACCAGCTGAGAATCTGGCTCCATGTGTTAAATAAAAAAAGTGGGTCTGGCTTCCTGATATTTTGTAGTAGACACACAAAACTATTCGTTATTGAGTTTGAAAAGAGATCTCACTTCCTCTTATTGGCAGCAGGCTGAAAAAATAGGGACATGGTGTGCTGAGCTCCTGGGTAGAAGAAATGTTTTCTTTCAAACTATAATGACCTTTTTGGCTATCTTAAGGAATATGTTCAAGCTTCCTTGGCAAGCATAGGTGGGACAGTAGCCAGTTACTACATGAAGGCTTTGAAGATGGAGGGAATAATAAATGAAAAAAGAAATTAAAGAGGAAAGTCTTTTTGTTTCCATATGGGTAGCTAAGAGGAACTGTTCATCCCCCTGCTTTGCAAGCAGAGCACTAATAGAATTGGTACATCAAAATCAATACTTTTTTTGACTGTTCTGTAGCTTGGATGTTGCGTGGTTTTTTACCTGACCACAGCGCTCAGAAACAGATGCATTTATCTGCTGAGAATGGCTTTGGGTGGTATTTATTTCTGATCTGTAAATGTCTCTGAATCTACCACTTTCAAAGATGATGTTTGCTGTAATCAACTGAAACCCAGCTTGATAATCCTGATTTTCAACATTGTGGGCAACAGAAAGGACATAATTTAGGGGGAAGAAATAAGAAATTCTTGGGTGAAAACAGGAACACTGCTTTGGCAAAAATGTTATATATCAATATGTGTATTAGTAAAAGAAACTGTAATTTGCAGACAGCTGCTGTCAGAAAAAAACAAGTGGAAAAGTAGGTAGAAGCTGGAGGGAAATTGGGGAGCTATGGAAATATATGTACACTATTGTTTTCTGATCCTTAAACAAACTTCATTTGATCACGACTATTGCTCAGGATATGCACTGAGAAGTACTGATTCTTGTGTGTTGAAACATGAAATAAGAGTCTCATAATGTGAAGATCTTGTGAGATATTAAGGTCATAGAAAAAGTGAGCTTTATATAACAGACTTAGGGGGAAGGGATACAAAAACTTGATGAGTTTGAATGTCAAAGTCTGGTGTCCACCAACCGAATGCTCAGATGTTGCAATTGTTTGTTTTGGAAGGAATAAACTTTTGAGTATACAGAGTGCACTGTTTTGAAGATTAGATCTGTCCTTAATAAGCAATGTTTCCTTACCTCCAAATTTTATTCTATCAGAGTGAGCTTTAGAAGATGATTTCTGTTATTGGAGTTTGCACTAAACTCCTAAATAGCTCTATTATGTCCGGTGACCTCATTCTTACTAGGCTTTACAGGTCAATGGTGAATTAAGCAGCCAGCTTCCTGCTAATTAATCCTATTTTGTTAAAGAACTGTTAGACTGCATTATCTTATCTCTGTTAAAAGGAAGCTTTTACAGGATTGGCACCAGATTACAGTTATGAATGGCAACCCTGCATCCAACTCTGCCAAGCAGAATCCAAGCAGAAAGGTGGAAGAGCACAGCATGAGGCTGGCACACAAATGCCCTTTCTTCCTTGCTGTCCCTCCACCAGATGAGCCCCAGGTGGTTTCAAAGTGATGCAGCCCCTGCAGCTGCAGTGTGTTTGGTGTGCAAGAGTCCTGACAGAAATCCAAGTCCCCACTTGGTGTGACTACACGTGGGGGAGGCAAAGTCAGTGCAGTGTTTACATCCAAAATCTTGTTTTGCTGCAGATGAGCAGTGCCCCAACCAAAACTCATCCTGAGACAGCAAATCTCTATCAAAAGAGCTGCTGCTGTGATTGCACAGCTTGCTCAAATTGTGAAGCCTGGAGAGATCCTTTGGTGTCAAGTTTTGAAACCAATGGGTTGGCTTAAATATAATGGAAATTGAGCACCTATGGAAAATGCCTGTGAATACATAAAAGGTTGGACACTCAATAACTGAAAGTCAGATAACAGAAATGTACTTCAGGGTTCTGGTCCTTGTTGGACAAGTTGTAAACCAACAGATATACCATTAGGTTTAAAACTGCTTCTCTTTTTTTTTTTTTTTTTTTTTAATTTATTTCTTAATTTTTCCTTTTGGCTTTAACTGCCCACCACCACTATACCTTTAATATTTCATTGTTTGCTCTGGAGCCATGTGGACTAAGCCTGTGACATGCGAGGTTCACCCTGCCAAAAGGCATATCTCAGGAGCAGGGCAGGGAAGGAGAAGAGGAAGGAGGGGAAGTGTTTATAAATGGCTTCGTTTTTCTAGATATTTACGTATCAGATGAAATTTGCAGACCTACGTCTATGAAAAACACACATTTCATAGAACAGCACTGGCATGGGGGAAGGAGATTGGCTGCTCTGCAGGCTGCTAAACAATGAAGGCATTTTCAGCTGAGCTACCTGAAATGATCCCCCAAGCTCCTGTATCACCCCACAGCAGGACTCCTGTTCTGCATTTTTGATCCGAAGCTGGGAAGATGCTCAGGGAAGAGGAGCTTGGGGGCTGAGTGGAGCCCTTAAAAACTAAAGAATGAGACATGGAATCACCTATGCTAAGAGTTCATGTAATATCAAGCTCTTCTTTGGGACATTGGCAAGCCGTATTTGTCTGTCAGGTACTATCAACCAGCACAGCTCCTTGTGATTTGCGTCTCTTTGTTGTATTAAAACAGTTGAAACCATGATGCTTTAGGTGCAGTGGCTGCAAACCTGCTGGGTGTTTAATGGTAGCATTTGTACTATTGGAGATTAATAGGAAGTTCTACTTTAAAACCTCTGGCATCTCAGCAACCAAAACAAGATGTTGTTAGCTAGCAAGAAGAATGAAAGAGTCAGCTGTTCAGAAGGACTAAACTGCACATGCCTTGTGATAAATTGCTAATGTATTCTAACGTGCACAGAATTACATTCTCTTTTCAGCAGCACAGGAGATACATGAAATAAATTTCCTTTTGCACTGTTTGCTTTGAAACTCCTATTTCTTTATGTGGGAATGAAAACACATCCACACAAAAAAGAGACAACAAACAAGAAGGGATTAGGAGGTGTGAGCAGCTTCTGCTGTCATGTGACTGCAGACTGTCTGGCATGCAGTCCAGAGCAGCAAACCTGCTCTTCATTTGTAGTTACAGAAGAATTATGAGCTGCAGTTAGATGTATGGTGTTTTCCCAGTGATAAAAGGAAGAATTACATCCACCCTGGAAAAAGTAAAAAATACTTTGAGAAACGAATCTTTTTTTTTTTTAAATTTAAAATGATATATTTTGGAAGGAAGAAAGTGTATTAGCTTACCCTGGAGCTTTGCTTCCTTCCTTTTGGATGCCTGATTAAAATCTCTCCTTACTCAACTAATTCCCTAGCTAAAATTGCTAAGACTGGAGGCATTTTACAAAAACAAAACAAAACAAAAACAACAAAAAAAAAAAACCCCTCCACTCCTCCCCCCCAAACACACACAAAAAACAAACCTGTAGAACATTAGGTATTTTTTTAAATTTTGCTTGCATGATTTCTACAAATCTGAATTTAATCACTTCTGCCTTCGCGGGCCACACATTTGCTGTGCTGCGCTGTATGAGAGCATTGAACACATGCACAGAACAATTGCTTTGAGCTGAGCAAAGTCTACAAGTACTTCTTTTATCACATGCAGTTCAATCACCCAGCTAATTCATTCTGAAATCTGCCTCTTTTTTTTTTTTCCTTTTTTTTTTTTTTTTTTTTTTTTCCCATGCCTCTACATCCTAAGCTGACTTGTGAAAAGAAAGAAGTCAAATCTGTGCTTCACAGCTCCCTGCAGCACAGACTTACCAAGCAGCCTATTTTGGAACTCACGTACTTGCAAATGACACATAAACCTCTAACTAAGCCTTAGATCAAGTGACTTCACAGCTACCGGCAGGGCTATTTTTAATTCTCTACCTCATTTTGCACACTAGCAATAATCTCATGCCTGGTAAATTGGGATGATCTGGCTTAAAAGTTCAGCTGCAGCCATGTTAAAAAGACTAGAGGAAATGGATAGCTCATCTCTGGAACTTGCAGCCCTTTGGAACACAGCCAGAACTTCTTAAAAACAAATCAGCTCGGGATTACATTTTGTTAGAGGCAGAATGGCAAAATCATTTCCCATCTATTTTTCAGTCTACTGCTTCCTTTTCGCTGTTAGGAGAGAGCAGTTCTGCTCACCCCCAGCTCAGGGCATTGGCTGGGTGTGGTGTTTTCAGGCACTGGATAATCTCGTGTCTTGGTGTGTGAGCACAGAAGGCAGCTCACACAATCAGCAGCTGGCTCCATTGTGCAGAGAAGCTGTGGGGATGCGTTGGGGCTGCCTGTGCCTCTGCTTCTTTGGCCCATGAGTACATCCAGGGGCGGTGCAGTTTGTGATAAAATGCTAAGGTATCATGAGAGCAAAGCAAGGATGATTAAGGCAGTGAGTGATGAAAAGCTGCATGCATCAATTCATAAGAAAATAGAACCACCTTGACTGCCGGTGTTCAGCCACTTTAAAGTTTGACCAGTATACTTATCCAGATGACATAATCTAAGGCAAACCCTGGAATTATGTATAAAACAAGCACATTTCTAATGAAAGTCATGTGTTACTTGACAGCCATCAAGGTGCCATTTTTCAGAGCAGTAAAGTGCTGTAAAATAAAGGCAGCAGATTTTTCCCATCCTAAAATTACAGAAGTGTGTTATCTGCCTCAAGCGGGCACACAGTGTGATGTGATCAGCAGACGGAATCACGCTCTGCTGGTTCCTTGCAAGGAAATGCCATGTTTAATGGCTGGAGGAGCAGTGCCTCACGTAGGGAGCTTTCTAATAGTAAGAAGGCTGCACAGTGTGCAGGCCAGAAATGCAAGGCTCCTTCCTAGAGGATACCCCAGGATGGTGGGGAAGAGACCAGTGAGGAAT